GTATAATCTGCATGCTTTCATAAGTTTCTTTCATGTTCATATCATGTGCTCCAGGAATCAATGGCTTAATATTCCCATCCTTCGAAAGTTCAGCCTTCAGACTAGGTTTAGATGAGGCGATAAAAAGTCTCAATTCCCGAGGATGTTCAGTACTTGATTCTTCCATTATTGCATCAACATTTGTACAGAAACACAAATTATCTTGCATACTGTTGTGAAAAGCAAGATTTTGATGGCGACTTTGGTAAATTGAAACTCTTATTCTTGGAGTTAATAAATTCTATTGCTGTGAACGAGAGCCAAGAAGTTCCACATGCTGCTTTGATAGAGACAAGTCACGAATTATATAATTATCTGTTTTTGTGTGATCAGATGAGGCAGTTTACGTTGAGGAAGATGATTTATTGTATTCATCTCAGGATAACTCTTCTGTTTCCCAATTCGTGAGTGGATGTGGCAATAGGAAACCATCCTCATGAGGTACTGGTTTTATTGCAAATGCAATGTCTGGGTATTTAATATGCTGTTTAGTTTTGCAAGAATATCCAGAAACATTTGTCTTGTAAAAATAATAGTAAGTTATGAGAACTGCATATTGCATATTTGACACTGTGTCAAGCTAGATGTGTAAACTGTACAACACACATGTGTAACCCAATATTTTTCTTGATCACTAATTTTACACCCAAAGTAGTGGCAGTAAGCTACCTTTACCTTGTGTGTATGATGCTTTTCCTTCGTGAAGCTGTAGCATATTTTACACAAATGTAGCAGAAACTGTTTGGATGATTTTTGCTCTTTCGGACTTTACTTGAACTGAAGGCAGCCAGCATTTCAAATGATTTTCTAAAAAAATATGAAAGAGCTTAAAGTTTAGAAATGATGCTTAAAAGATTTAAAAAAACAAATTTTTGCAGATTTTGATTATATCGTGGGTATGATGCAAGGAAGAAGATCAGACTTTGTTTTGACTGTGCATGGAGCAAGTCAAAGTGACCAACTGAATGAGTGAGAGGCAACTGAGGTGTCTGACTCTGCACCTTTTATGCTCATTTGATGAAATTGTCGAATGTTCTAGTAAACTGTGTAGGTGAAGGTTTCGTAACTCTTTGGTGAAGCAGGTGAGCATGGTAATGAAGCAAAAGTGGTGCAATTTTCATCAATTATATCGAAAAAATAACATATGTGAACAATATATTTGGAATTTTACACCAATACAATACAGTCAATGTTTGAAGTTATCAAAAATGTATGCCTTTTACCCATTAAACTGTCCAAGTAAGCTTAATTTTGCAACATAAAGCTATTGTACTAATCTGATTGCATGATATTTCACGTAGTGCTGATAAAATATTGAGGTATTACAATAAGTCAAAATCTAGAGGTGATAGAGGAATTCTGACTACATTTTTGAAATCAGTGCCATAAAATTACCTTGAGTTTTCTCCAGTGGCAAATGTTTTGTTGTCCAGTGTAATCAATAACAAGAACAAACTTTGTTTATAAATAATAGAGTGCAAGTTTTGTATTTCAACCTTAATTTACAATAAATTAAGATTAAAGTGCTAGAAATCGGTCACAAGTTCAGGCATATCATAATTTTTAATATTAGCTTACAACAACCAGTCTAAAGGTCAGTCAAATTTGGGTCACTTTTCAAATATAAATACTCTGTCCCTTTCATCACTAATGATCAGACTGATGAAATTCTACTACATGAAGAAAGAATGATTAACCAGCCCTTAAATGTAAGTATATTGTAAAATATATTTCTTTGCTTATAAATCTAATTTCTGTGTTTCTGTGGCATAGTGATGTTTGTTCAGTCATATCTATTATATTGATAAATAATGTTGCTGTAATTTACTGATTATATACTATGTTATGTTTTAGTCTATTGAAAAGAAAAGAAATGTTGCTGACATTACCAAAAATAACAAATCCAGCAGAGAAGAAGAAACAGTAAAATAGAAAAAAGCTTCAGTTAGGTTCCTCTACTATTATACAACGTGAATAATTACCTTATTCATCTCATACATATCCTATTGGGAACGACCATTACATCACTCTATCAACTTATGAGAATAATTTGAATATTCATATTCGGCATTTCAAGGACTTTGGTAAAGGAAAACTATATCCAACCAAGGAAGGTATTACTTTTTCTTAACAGAATTGAAGGAATTTAATCAGTGGATCCCAACCATTTGTGTTGCTGTACACAGCATAACTGAACAAGATTTTTTCCTTAAAGGAATCGTGTAATTCGTGTTGTATGTGTTAACAATATCCTTTTTATTTTGTTTACATATGGATTTGATTATTGTGGTATTGATATGACATGTTATATGGTTCTCTTTGTTTTATAAATTTCAGAATGGTAGAACTTATGCGCACAGATTTCTCATTTTGACAGCTACTTAAATATTAATGAAAAAAGTTGAATAATCAGTTAAAATAATTTCATATTAATATATATGCTGAACAAGTGTACCCTATTTTACAAGTACCGAAGAAAGAAAAGTGTGAAGCATGTAAAATCGACGATCTTACTCAAGCTCATTATTCTTGTAACACGTTCAATTATGATGAATGTGTATGGTTATATTTTAGACAAGACTGAACAAATTTATTGTTCAATCTATGTTTAATCAAAGAGTAACACAGTTAAATTTATCAAGGCATATCAATGGGATACTTTAGAGAAAGGCGGATTTATTCAAGGTTTATCAAAAATAATGTGCATGTATCCTACCTTTAAAGATCTCAACAACAAAAAAAATCAGTAAAATAACTGTGATAACAATAAAAAACGTTCTTCACAAAATATTTCATTTGTTGTTTCTTATGATATTTGATATTGTCCACAAGAAAATAAAAAATACATATATTTTCTTTCACATTTGATAAATCCATCATATATATTGTACAATGTCTATCATAACAGAATATACTTTACAACCAAAACAGGCTGTATGTTCAATATATTTTAACTCTGACAATGAAGAAGATATAGTAAAACAAATTTATTTATTCATACACTTTACATAAGAATAAAAAAGCTAAATGTAGATTACTGAAATTCTCATTATTTCATGGTACACTGGAAAATTATTTCTGTTTCTATGTTACTACTTTCTGTTTTTCACCAAAATCTATCTATCTATCTATATATATAGCTTAACTTCTTCAAGGTATAATTGTTTAGACATAATATAAAAGAAATATCAGTATCACCCTTCTTACAATTTGGGCTGCATTCTTCATATTTATCCGAGGTTCAATGTATATATATAGACAAGATTTAAGAGAGGAAAGGCCAAGTGACAACCTTTGTATTTCCTAGCAATCACAATTTATCGAGCTTAGCAGAGGTTTTGAATCTAAGCGAGTGCGTGACTTCTTAGTGTCTATTGCAGGAGAAAGTTTGGTTATGTCTGTACTATAAAACCTCAATGTTATATTAATTTTAATTGTATAGTATGTTTTGTACTTCAAATGAATTTTAAATATGTCAGGTTTTATGTATAAACCAGATTTTTTACAGTAGGTGTCTGTGATTTGTTGGCAATAAACTTCAACAATAAACAAAAAGCAAACAGTCTACTTATTTTAAAATACTATATTCAAACGAGTCAAATGTACATACAGATGTTTGCTATACTGTTGGTAATCAAAGTTATATCCATAGCTTAGCTCCCCAGTGGCACAGTGGTTTGTCTGCAAACTTACAATGCTAGAAACTGGGTTTAGATAACTGTGGTGGGTAGAGCACAGAGAGCTCATTGTGTAGCTCAGTGCTTAACCACAAACAATACAGAGCTTAGAATAATTGTCTCTTTTTCGTCAAAGTCAACTGGTTCAATTTCTTTTGAGCACAATTGACGAGACAGATTATTCTCTACTCTGTTATTAAAATACAATTTGTGATAATTTTAGTTTAGAAATTGTTACTGTATGCTCTTTATGACTGGCTTCATAATCATGCAGTCTAAATCTATCTAACTAACTCAAACTACATTTTGGATCTATATTTATATCCTGAAAGTGGCCCAGAATGTTCCACACACACTATAAAATATTATGATATAATAATCTCAATTAAAACAACGAGAAAACTTAGAAGGTTCAAGTAACATGACGCAATATCATAACAATCGCCAATTCACAACAACCGAACTACACAATGTATGATTTGAAAATAGTTATATAAACAAACCTGTGATAAATTATCACTTCTAAAATTAACTAAATTTAACTATTTGAATCATAGCACTCACATTAAGCATAAATAGAAACAGGCGTGTATATATAACAAATTATCTTCTATAATGGTAAGGCGATTGGTTAAACATTAAGTCATTCATTTATTATATTCAATTGTAGCAAAATTGGTAGATTAATGACCTTGAGATAGAAACGAAAAGAGCTGATATATAATGTTAGTTTCAGTCAGCAAGAAGCAATCTCTCAAACGATTTCCTACAATAATAACCCTTTAAAGTTTTATTGGTCAACATGAGATTTAAATAAGCGTCCTTTTCAGGATGTTATATATATATATATATCATAGAAAGGAAAGTGGTTTTGCATATGAAACTCAGGAAATGTAAAAACTATGATTAAATATAGAAGCGAAAATTATAATCAGTAGGTTAAATCATGAAAACATAATCGGCTATCTTATTCAATATTTATGAAAACATTAGATATGATAAAAACTTTTAAGCAGTACATTAACCAATTAACTGCGGATGATGGATATTTCCGTCATTGAAGTTCTATGGCTCTGCTGCGAATGACGGAAATATCCGTCAGTCGCACATTTATAACTATAACTCTATGCATATGACGAGAATTTCAGTTTTATTTTGATTGATGGCAACTCAGTTTTATCTGTGAGTCAGGGTATCAGACCGGCATTCCTACCTCCAAGCAATCAATGCTCAAAAGCTATTTAGTTGGAAAGGGTCATTTCAACATTTTTCTCCTCCCTTGAAATGGCAAAGTGGGTTATTGTTGATGAAGAACTTCGCCAATACCTTTGTGAAAGCAATGAATCAAGCTTAGATTTATCCTCTGATAGTGAAGAAGAATTTACTAATGAAGTCACAATTGATGATTTATCCGATAATAAACAAACAAATGTACCAAGTACTTCGCAAGTATAGTGGAAGCTAAATAATTTTTTTTATACTTCTAGTGGAGATTCGGGTGTCAAAATAAAGAAAACCAGCCTGATAATGTTTTGGAGATTATTGAATCTATTCAAAATGCTGAAATAATATCAAAAATCGTCTCGGAAACTCATGCGTATGCTAATGAAATTTGCAAACAGAAATTCATCTCATGATTATTGAAGAAAAAAGTAGACTACAAAATTTGAAAAACACAAACGTTAGTGAAATGCGTGTACTCGATGCAATGTTGTTATTGATGGGACTAATCAAAAAGCCCGATTTTCAGATGAATTTTTCAAAGGATCTTGTGTTGGCAACACTTTTTTTGAGAAACAATGACAAAAGATAGATTTCTCTTTCTCCTACAACACTTGCACTTCTCTGCTTTTAAAGACTCTTCAGATAAATTATATAAAATTATAGATCTTCTAAACTTATACAAGGAGTCTTTTCGGAGTGCATATTTTCCTGAAAAGAATATATGCATAGATGAGAGCTTACTTCTATGGAAGGGTAGATTAGGATGGAAGATGTATAGATGGAAGATCTAAAGCGTGCTCTATCTAGAACTGAGGGCTACTTTCTTTGTGAATCAAGCACAGAATTCGTGTATAACTTCGAAGTTTACACTGGAAAGGGAACAGATCTTCAAATTCCTCCTTCTGCTACTGAAATTGCACCTGAATACCTTAATCATTCAACGAAAGTCGTCCTGCATGTAATGACAGACCATTTAGAGAAGGGCTTTTATCTTGCAATGGATAACTTTTACTCTTCGCCACCTCTTTTCGATTTTTAGTTTCCCACATGAGAGATGTAATTGGAACTTTGCGACAAAATCGAAAAGGAATTCCAAAGGAAGCATGAAAAGCAAAGCTAAAAAAGGGACAAGATATTACCATGTATAAAGGTAAACTTATGGTCATGCAATGGAGAGACAAGATAGAGGTGATGATGATAAGCACTACCTATGATAATGGTTGGAGACGGCTTGAATGGATAATGAAGAAAAACTTTAATATAAGTTTAACACAACAGCAAATGTACAACGTTTCGAAAAGGTTTTGTCATCATCAGAGAACCTCATCAGAAAAGAAAACCAGCCATATAATAAAAAAGGACCTACAGGATGCTCCTACCACAACCTCTAATGGAACAAAGAGGAACAGCAATTTCGGAGTACTCCCAGTTGTCTTTCGAGGTTTTCCACGGAATACTTTAAATCGAAATTCCCGCCAGTTGATGATGATGATACGTATAGTTTAAGTAGTTGCAGACGTTTTGATTATCACTTGGAGAAAGTTAGGTTAGAGGATGTACTTTTAAACCACAAAGTGTTTTGAATTTTATTCGTATGGTATGCTTTATACTTCAAGTGAATATTCTATAGAAAATGGTAAGTGTTGCTATGTTAAATAATTTCTATAATAGCAAAGTAATTGGTTAAATAGTAAGTCACTCATTTATTATAGTTAGTTATAGCAAAATGATTTATTATAGTTTATCAGCAGAGTCAAGAGTCAGCACGAACCCCAGGGCAAACATCCTCGTCACGCCCCTTTCTCTCTCTCGTTTTTAACGTTTTTAAGAACTTATTAAAAGGAAGATCCTAAATTAGTACAGCAACGAGCTCATAAAAAAGGTAAAATCATAGCAGCAGCCGTTTTAGGTCACAGTATAAGCGTAAACATGTTAATAAAGTAACAACAAATATCTATTAAATCTATAAAGTAACAAATATATATTAATTACTACTCAAATTATTATGCTAAGAAAAGCCAAAAACTATGCTTTTTATGATTAAAGGAAGATATAGCCTAAAGGTGCTTTGCGGGCTTTACAGCATAACCAGGTTTCGTTCACCCAGTTAACTGGGTAGTTGACTCTTTTGTCCCCCCTATCAGCGGTCCTGGTGTTTATTAAACAGATGTTAAAATTAGAGATATGACTGAAAATAGAGCTTCATACGTAGATGGTTAAAAATAAGAATATGTTTAATCCATAAAGCCAAAAAATTTAATGGCAAGTTTGTATGTTAAAGTATCCTATATCATTTAGAGATTTAAATAAGTGTCCTTTTCAGAACGAACAGATGATAATTAATGTTAAGTGTTTTACATATGAAAGTCAGAAAATGTAAAAAATATGATTAAATATAAAAGCAAAAGCTATACTACAATACATTAAATGTGCACCAAATCATAAAAACACAATTGGTTGTTTCATTAAATATTTATAAAAACGAAATATTAGGTGTGATAAAACGTTACTAAACGTTGCCAAATTCTTAGTTAAGAGACTGAAACCTTTACTTGAAACCAACCCCAATTCTCTCAAAAATTTTCTAGACTTTGTCAATTGAATCAAAATCTTCAAACTAAAACAAGAAGATATATCAGCATATTTCGACATTAAGTCTTTATTTACCTCAATACCTAAGAGTACAATACCTTACATTGTATAAAAGAAAAACTAGAAGGCAATCCTGTAATAGAATACCTTATCACCCTCACAGGTTACTGCTTAAGCAACACTTACTTTACATATAAAAGACAGTTTTACAAACAAAATAATGGATTAGCGATGTGATCCCCCTTTCCCCTCTACTTAGTGACCTCTACATGTGCATTATAGAAGAAGAACTGTTTGGACAAAAATTCATACACACCAAGAAATCTGAATTGTGGTTAAGATATGTAGACAATATCTTCAGTTAATGGCGATATTGGAAAGAAACGCTACTAAATGTCATTGAATTCTTAAACACATTAAGAGCCAATGTCTTAATTTTCACACATAAGATAACATTCCACAGTAGTCTCATCTTTCTAGATGTGAATGTAAAAAGAGGACAATAAAGTTACCACCAGCATATACAGGAAACCCATTTCATCACCATGCTGCCACACATAAGATATAATCACCACCTATCACAGGAAATATCCTCTTACTTCACCTACGTAAATCGTGCTTATAACTTTGCACCCACAAAGACAATCTACTTATTGAATTGAATGACCTAAAGAACGTAGCATTATCTACAGGCTTCAATCCCAATATCACATAAGATATAATTGTGCCAAAGCATATACAGTGTGGAGATATTTACACTAATTAAAGAATAACCTGTTAAAATACAAAGTGGAGATAGCCCAGTGTGTAGGCTTACACTAAGAAAACAATAACCTGTTAAAATAAAGGCTGGAGGTAGCCCAATGTGTAGCTTTACACGAAGAAAACAACAACCTGTTAAAATACAGGCTGGAGGTAGCCCAATGTGTAGTTTTACACAAAGAAAGCAACAACCTGTTAAAATAAAGGCTGGAGGTAGCCCAATGTGTAGCTTTACACGAAGAAAACAAAAACCTGTTAAAATACAGGCTGGAGGTAGCCCAATGTGTAGCTTTACACGAAGAAAACAACAACCTGTTAAAATAAAGGCTGGAGGTAGCCCAATGTGTAGCTTTACACGAAGAAAACAATAACCTGTTAAAATAAAGGCTGGAGGTAGCCCAATGTGTAGTTTTACACGAAGAAAACAACAACCTGTCAAAATGCTATATGTATATATGTATGAATTTATATTGACGAATAAGTACATTCAATCTCAAGAAAATATGTATTGTATCTAGAACACCTGAAATTACTGTAGATGCAGCAAATACAAATCACTGGGGATATCTCGTTTCTTCCTTGACTTCCAATCGCAAGCCTGAATCTGCTATGCAAAGCAGCTGAAGAGTAATAAGAAAAACAAGAAAGAGATAAGGTGTGATAAAGTCCTAAGTTCACTTGTCCATTCACCGTACGTAACTAATTGTAAGTATTGTAGTAACCGTACATATCAGGACAAAGGTAAAAAATTCAGATACAATATATATTTATCAGGTTATTCAATCAATGATCGTCAATGGTTAGGTTCCAAGGTCGTTTTTAATAAGGTCTCAAACACCAATGTATTTTTTTTTTCACCAAAGTGTCGTCAATACGTAATATAAGAGCGCCTTATCAAAGATTAAAAGTTATTAGACTTAGAAAATACAAATGGTACTATTTTTTATGAATTTGGTATAAATGCCCTGTTGTTTTCAGGATTTGTAGTTCATTAGGAAGATATTTAGACATTTTGACTATGAAGTTTGAAAAAATACCTATATTCTCCAGATGATGAAAACAACAATTTTTCGCCATTGCGGCTTCATCAGGGCTAGTAGTAAAATAACTGATGATGGAAAATTTGACGCCACAAAGGCAGTTCTTTGGCTGAAATAGTTTTATTATTAATATTATCTGCAGAATATAGGTTTTCTTTCAAACTTTGTTGTCAAAAGGATATAAATGTTTCCTTCAGTGTTTAGTAGTAGTAATTATTATCACTTCGTTACACTTTCATGTTTCACTTATAATGCGGAGAGTATATAGTGCAATGTATAGCCTTACGCAAAGGAAACAACAATCTGTTACAATGTATAACGCAGATAACTCAATGTGTATCTTTCCACAAAGAAAACGAAAACCTGTTAAAAGGCAGGGCGCCGATAGTCCAGTGTGTAGCCTTACACAAGGAAAACAGCAACATGTTCAAATGGAAACTGCAGTTAACCTAATGTGTAGCTTTAAACAACGAAAGTTTCATCCTTTTAAAATACAGTGTGTAGATAGCTCAAAGTCTATCTTTACACAAAAACAACAACAACCTATTATAATGCTGTATATATAAACATATATATGTAATAATAATAATAATTCATAAGGGCATTCAAACCTCGCAGATAGAAAAATAAGTATCATTTTTAGAACACCGGAAATGATTGTAGATGCAGCAAGTACAAATCGCCAGTGATATCCCGTTTCTTCATTGACTTCCAATCGTAAGTGTGAATCTTTTGTAAAAGCAACTTAATAGCAGTAAAAAAGGTGGAGGTAAAGTGTCATAATGTTCTAATACAATTTACTCACTCACTGTACACAGCTAACTGTGAGTA